ACTTACATTCAGCTAGTAAGTAAACCAAGAATATAGATTGTATTTAAAAAATATGTATATTTTTTATGCTTAAATTTTTTATCTATTTATTTTTTATTACTTTAATTTAATATTATTATGAATTATGTTTAGATTACTATCTAAATCCATAATTTCAATTTGGAGTGGGGCATTCTACAAATATACTTAAAAAAACATTAGACGGTACTCAAATCAGTTATTGAAAGATTAGAACCTTATATAAATACTCAAATCAGAATGTCTAATCATGTTAGTATTTAATACTATTTTATAACTTTGACATTTATTTTATGTATTAAAAATAAAATCATTTTTTATTTATGCATTTATTATTGTATTTTCAAAAATGTAGTTGCTATTATTTCAAGACAAGTATGAAACATTTTGCACTCCACGGCACAAAGAGCTTGAAAGCAAATGAATCCAGATAATTAGTAAATTAAATAATTATAATTTATTTTTATTATTTAATTAACTAGCATATTCAAATTTAATTTAAATAATTTTATACAGTTGAGTGGTGGATGATATATGGCACTTGTGTTTTTGAATTACAAAAACTAGCAATCAAAGTACTTAGTCAAATAGAATCTACAACAAATTATGAATGTAACGGGAGCACATTTAGGTATATTCATACCAAAGTAAGAAACAGATTGAAGCTTGAAAAACTTTAAAAACTTATATATACCTATTACAATATGAGGCTGAGGATGAGACATAAAAAAAGAATAAGCATTGATGAGATAAAAAATACTTTTAATCCTATTAGCCTTGACCATATTTTTGAAGATGATGATTTACTAATAGAATGACTGCAAGAGAAAGAAATCCTTTGTTAGATGATCAAAACTCTAATTGGTTACCTATAGATAATTCTGACAATGAAATGAATGTTAAACAATAATGCCAATCTCAAATAAGGAATGTATCTCATTTAAGTTCAAGTCTAACACCAAGTCAAAGTGATGATGGTGGAGGTTTAAGTCTAGATAATGGTGATGTTAATGGTGATGGTGCCAATTTTGGTGGTAATATGGTTGCAAATCAACCTTACAACCCATTTGGAAAAGAACTAGGGTTTGTTGCTACTGGTGGACTTTTCATTACCATGGTAGAGTACTAAGTGAATCCATCTATTGAATCTAGTGTGAGTCAAAGTGCACATACAGTTCAATCAAAAGGAAAAGCCAAGAAGCATCACTATGATATTTTTAGTTCTTCATCTTTAGGTAGGAGACCAAATTCTAGTAACTTTAAGTATAGTGAATCATTTGTTGGTATTCAAGTACATTACTATTAACCGAAATAACCTAATTTTTAACCTCTTTATGGTTATCCACCTTTATATGGTTATTATCCACTACAAATGTATCTTCTACCTCAAATGTATCATTTACCATAAATGTATCCCTCACTAAAAATGTATCATCCTCAAATATATCTTCTACCTCAAATGTATCAAGAACAAAAGTCACATGTATGGGGATTGAGTCAACTTGACTCTCAAAGTAAAAATAGAGAATTTGATCCTTCTCATCATTCTACCATGTGGTAAATTTTGAAATATATATCAATAGTTATAGTTGATAGAATTTGAAATTATTATATTTGTAAGTTTGTAATTTTATTAAATATAGATGCTTGGTATTTAACATATTATGTTTTGTTAATATCTTGATTTGTCTAGAATTAATATTGAATATGAACTTGTCTCACGCAAAAATTTTATTGCAAAACCAAATATGAATGTTTTATTATAATCTAACTAAAATTATGAATAATATTTTTAAAAATATAAAAATATAGTATCATAAACTATTTTAAAAATCATTAAATAATAGTTTTTATGGCTATAATTATAATTATTATATTTTATAACAAATTGTGCAAAATTAAAAAAATTCATGACTCGATGATTGCAATTATATCTATTATATAAAAAATGTAATAAACACGATGCAACCAAAAATATAATTGCGGTCGCTATTTAAATCCTGTTATACACTTTCATTCTTTAAGCCAAAAAAAAAAAGAAAAAAAAACAACTTGGAACAATCTTAAGACTTTTGATAAGCAGAAGAAGAAAAATAAAACTAAAACCAAAACCTCTAACATATCAGAAACCTAAGAAAGAAAAACTCTAACCATATATATCAAACCAACCTATGCATTTAAAAAGAAAAGGAAAAGAAAAAGGATTACGATCTTTTTATTTTTTTGTTTTGGTTTTTTTTTTCATTTTTTTGTTATTGGTTTTTCTGGTTTAGGCGTCTTGCATCCACCCTTTTTTTTGCTGTTCCTCTTTTCTGTCTTGTTTAAAAATTTCTTGCTATTTTTTTTTTTTGGTTCACGTTTATTGCTAGTTTTCCTTATTGAATGCTTTAGTTTTTTTCGGTCCTTTGTTGACACCCATTCTTCTTTTTTTTTCTCATTTTTGTTGTTGTTTGCTTATCGCCCAGTGTTTTTTTCTTTTGGTTTTGGTTCTTGCAATTTGGCTGGCACTCCTTACATCTCTTTATGCCTTATGCTGCCTCATTTTTTCTTCTCTTTTTTCATTTTTTTCTATGTTGGTTACAAGCTTTTTTTTTTCTATTTTGTTTTGTTACTTGCTTTTTCCTTTTTTTCACTTTTTCTTGGTTTCTCACCTTTTTTTGTTACGTTTTCTTCATCTTTTTATGCCTTCCACATCTTATCCTTTTTTTCTATTCAATCTCAGTTTTTTTTTTCATGCCACAATCCCAAGCCACGACTCAAGCCATTATTTCCTTTTCACATAATGGCCTAAATGCAATTTCCATTCTTTTTTCACATGTTCATACCTCATGCAATGCTATGCATCCATGCCAATTTTTTTTTTTTTGCATCATTCTTTACATTCACACATCATGCCCTTTTTTCATAAGTTTTCTTCTTTTTTTGTTTTATTCTAATGGTTTTTACCTCCAAGCAAGGCTAACCTAATGATCCCAATTTTTGTCATGTCTTGGGCTTAAAGAAGAAGCCCATACTTTAGAGCCTTAGCCATGATTTATGGCCAACTTGGACTTTTTTTTTTAAGTTAATTTTAGACTTCTTTCATTCATTTGGGCTCTCATAATTTTTTTAAGCTTTATTATTATTTTTTGGCTTTATTTTGGTTGTGGGTTTTACCCATTGGGGTTATATTGAGTTTTTAATTAAGTCAAATTTTGGGTTATTTTTAATGGTTTACATTAGGTTGTATTTGGGCTTTAAAATGAGACATTTATTTCAAGCTTTTTTTTTTTGGATAATTTAATTGTTATTTGGGCTTATACAAAATGTCTTATTTTTTAACATTTAAAAATAGACTGTTAATGAGTCTAAAAAATTAATAATTGAGGTACAATTATGGAAACAAATCCAAAAGGAAAAGATAAAATATTTCAGATAAAATTGAATATCTACATATCTTTTGTATGTATGTTAAAAGATGTCAACATATATCTCACACATAATCGTATTTCCAAATATAAATTTATTTTATAGACTAAAGCCTATTTCTTTTAAAAAACTTAAATTAAGTTTAAAGTTTTTTTAAATATAATATATTAAATTAGATAGTCAATTATATTTAAAAAAATAATAGTGACGACTATATTTTTATATCTAATGATCAAACTTCCATATCACGAAACTTATAATTTTAGCAGACGTCCAATTCCACTCTTAATGCGATGCAGAATGAACAATGTAATTAATAGAATGAGAATTTTCTCTTTAAAATGTTCCTAAATTTAAATCGAGATAAATTATAATTTTTTAATTTTATATTATTTTTTATAAAATAAATATATGTATTTATTACTAGATATAAGTATATATATTAACTAAAAATTTTTAATTTGATTCGATTCGATAAATATTTGAATTTGATTTTTAAAAAATCGTAAACTATAAGTTAACTGAAATTGTTTTCTAGAACCGAACTTAACGCAATCATATGCGGTTAACATATTAGACCTTAGCTTAGTTATTGTTTGGTTTTGACTGGTTGTTTCCTCCGATAACATTTTTAAAAAGCCTGGTCGACCTTTTCAACCACCCATTTTCATATTCATTTTACACGTACACTTCTTTTTCCACGTCCCTCTCATGGAAGACTTTATGTTCTTATTGAAACAAAAACTTCTTTGATTGAGTGAGACTTAAATCTATAAAACAAATGTTGGCCCACTTATGTTAGAACATTGATAAATGCTGAATTAAATTTTGAAAGACTTGGTCAAATTGTAGTTTTGATTATACTAATCAGAGCTAATCCCGCTAGAGAAACTATTTTATTTATTGTCAAAAGAATTTTTAAATTCTGTAAATGAAATTAGTAAAGTAATATATAGTTGTTAAAATATGTTTTAAAAAAATTAATTAAAAATTATAAAATATATGTTAATTTTTTAATCTCACTTATAAAATTAAAAATTATACTAACAATATATCAAATACTAACTCATCTAATTATCAACATATATTACCTAATTTGACAAAGGTTTTGCTATGTAACAAATTATTGATGAAATCTTAGACTGATATTTGAAATTTGATAGAATCCAGCCTATGGTTGGGATGCTTTGCTTGTTATTAGAAATATTATTGGTTTTGCTTTCAACCAAAATAATTTTTCATGTAATCGAAATGCATAATCTATCCTTTTTTCCTAACTAATTAGCAAAATTCTTAAAGTTATTCAATTATTTTTGAAGCATAGCTCTTTCAACTCAGTCAATTCAATTAAGTTAAACTAATACTATATGAGTACTGAAATTGCCAAAATTTTTGAGGGTTAAAACTTCGGCTACATTATTACAGTCTTTTTATTGTGGATTTTTTTGCTTTTTTGTCCCATGGCTTCTATAGTTGAACTGTAAATTTAGCAAGTGGTCAATGCACCACTTCAATGGAAGGTTAAACACATAAAGGAAGCAAAAATGTTGAGGGGCTTTTTACCAGCCTTTCCCCTTTCTGCAAGTCTATGACAGAAGGGAAGACTTTCTCTTGACTTAAAACTCTAAAAAACTTGTATAGCACCCAAAAAAAAAAAAATCCAAAAAACTTGTTTAGTTATAAGCTCCTTTATCAGTCATTTTATGAATATCCAACCCCTTGATTCCTACAATGGCTTTGGCTTTCTTTCCTCTCTTTTCCTTTCTATTTCTGCTACCTGCTTCTTCCGATGCTCAAACTGTTGGTAATGTAACGATAGGTGCTTCTATCTCTGCTGCTGAAAACTCCTCTACATGGATTTCTCCTTCAGGAGATTTTGCCTTTGGTTTTTATCAACTCAACAGCAACAAAAATCTCTTCTTGCTTGCTATCTGGTATAATAAGATACCGGACAAAACTCTAGTTTGGTATGCAAATGGAGACAGCCCTGCGCCAAGGGGATCAAGATTACAGCTGACAGCTGACAGAGGGTTTGTACTTAATAGCCCTCAAGGTGAAGAGCTATGGAAAACTGAGACCTGGAATGGGGTTGTTAATAGCGGTGTTTTGGATGATAATGGAAATTTGATGCTTTTAGGAAGTAATTCTATACTTTGGGAGAGCTTCAAAAATCCAGCTGATACTGTTTTGCCAACGCAGAAACTGGATAAGGGAGTAGCCCTTTCTTCTCGCCAATCAGAGACCAACTTTGCCAAGGGGAGGTTCCGGATGGTTTTGCAGTCAGATGGCAATCTTGTTCTTACTACCATAAACTTGCCCAGTGACCATGCTAACGAGCCTTATTACGAAAGTGGCACTGCTGGGGATTCAAATTCATCCAGTCCTGGTTTCCAACTGGTCTTCAATGAGTCAGGCTACTTGTTTGTTTTGAGAGAGAATGAAGAAAGATACCTTCTAACCCCGAGAATAACAGGCTCAGCTAAAGACGTTTATTACAGAGCAACCCTCGATTTCGATGGAATTTTCACACTGTACTCTCACCCTAAGACTTCCACTGGGAATTCAAGTTGGACTACCGTTTGGTCTGAGCCAGATAATATTTGCACAGCAAGTTTGGTCAATTCAGGTAGCGGTGCATGTGGTTTCAACAGTATCTGCAATCTCAACGCCGAGAGAAGGCCAATTTGCGGATGTCCAGGGGGATATACGTTAGTCGATCCAAATGACAACTATGGCAGTTGCAAGCCTAACTTCACTCAGAGCTGTGAAAAAGAGCCAGCTTCTATGGAAGACTTGTATGAGTTTGAAGTGCTTACTAATGTTGACTGGCCACTAGCTGATTATGCACTCTTGGAGCCTTTCACTGAAGACAAGTGCAGAGAATCTTGCTTGCATGATTGTATGTGCGCTGTTGCCATTTTTAGACTAGGTGATAAGTGTTGGAAGAAGAAGCTACCACTGTCAAATGGAAGAGTTGATCCCGGTCTTAATGGGGGAAAGGCTCTTCTCAAAATTAGGAAAGTTGATTCACCTCCCGATGGTCCTTATTTTCCAAATCCAGGAATGAAGAAGAAGACGAACCGGGAAACTTTGATCCTTGCATTATCAGTACTTCTAGGTAGCTCTGTGTTCTTCAATTGCATTTTGGTTGCTGCAATTTGTCTGGGATTTTACTTCATCTACCAAAAGAAACTCAAAACATTACCCCAGAATAAAGGTGTCATGGAAACAAATTTGCGTTCTTTTACTTACAAAGAGCTTGTGTATGCTACAAACGAGTTCAAAGAAGAAATAGGAAGGGGAGCTTTTGGCATTGTTTACAAAGGGGCACTACATAGAAATTATGTCTTTCAGGTTGCTGTGAAAAGATTGAACACACTGATACATGATTCTGACAAGGAATTCAAGGCTGAAGTGAATGCAATCGGTCAAACCCATCACAAGAACCTAGTACGACTGCTTGGATTCTGTGATGAAGGAGATAATAGGTTACTCGTTTATGAATATTTGAGCAATGGCAGTGTAGCAAGCTTCCTCTTCGGTGACCCAAGACCCAGTTGGAGCCAAAGAACTCAAATTGCTTTTGGGATTGCAAGAGGACTCCTCTATTTACATGAAGAATGCAGCACACAGATTATTCACTGTGATATAAAGCCTCAGAACATTCTGCTAGATGAGCATTGCAATGCAAAGATTTCTGACTTTGGATTGGCAAAGCTTTTGTTGTCGAATCAGAGCCACACCAATACTCTTATTCGAGGAACAAAAGGATACGTGGCACCAGAATGGTTTAGGAACTTGCCAATAACTGTGAAGGTTGATGTCTATAGCTTTGGAGTGCTGCTGCTAGAACTCACGTGTTGCCGAAGAAGCGTAGATATGGAGAGCAGTGTAGAAGAGAGAGCAATTTTAACTGACTGGGCTTATGACTGCTACTGCGAAGGCACATTGGATGCACTGGTTGAAAATGACACTGATGCCTTGAATGACAGAGGAAAAGTAGAGAGGTTTGTGCAAGTTGCCATATGGTGTATTCAAGAAGATCCGTCCCTGAGACCTACCATGAGAATGGTCACACAGATGCTTGAAGGAGTTTTAGAAGTGCCCATTCCACCATGTCCATGTCCGTATGCTATTACTGCTTGAAACTCTGCTTTTGAAGTGATCTGAAGCATCCTCAATTTTCTTTCATGTCTAAACTGTACCCAAGTTTTTTTTTTTTTTTTTAAGACTTTTAATTAAATATTTGTTCATTTAGGTTTTCGCTTCTATCAAAGGGAGCATTATGTATTGAAGTACCAGAATTCTATAGTAATAACTTTTTATAAACTAGTATGGTCCAGCTACATTAATCACTTTCCTCTATACAATAATACCCTGCTGTCGTGAAACCTGAGATTAGCGGTGTAATGAGGAACAAGCCTATATTTGCATAAGAAACCAAAATAAAATTTCATTTTTATGTGGTGTAGGCTTTTATCTGATTTGATTGATCTCATTTTCTGCTGGGAACTTGATCTAGCTTGCAGTATTGTATCCTTTCATTTCTATCCAAACACAAGCAAAGACTACCCTGCAATAATTGTTCGGTAACTTTCTTCCATGATGCCATCTGCCTACCGATATCAATAAATATGATTGTGCAAAAAAGAATATAAATAAATATACCCGTTCACATTGATCTATCTATTTGTATTTTATAACTCAAGAAATAATTTTATTTATTTAATATACATAAATTAATATTTTTAAATTATATTGATTTTTAAAATTTATAACACAGAAAATTTTTATATATTTAATTAATTGTTCATAAAAAAATAAAATTAAAAAAAAGTTAAGAAAAAAACATGTCTTTACTTTGCACAGTTTTTTAAAAAGATAACATGTCTTACTTTACAAATTTTTATCTACAATAATAATTATAATATATTTATATTTACCAAAATTTAGAACACAAACAGAGAAAATTTACTGTGATAAGGTAAAAATTTAATTATACACAAAAAAATGTAATACAATAAAAAGAATAGTATAAAATCGTATAGAATCACCTAATTTATAACTTAACTCTATATGCAAAACGCGGAATGAATAATATCAAAATTCTAAGAATAAAATAACAACTCTAACTCTAACCTAGAGGAAAAATTGAAATTAAAAGTTAATATCTTAGTTTTTTAGCATGTGTTTTAATTCTATTATTATGAAAATCTTTTTTTTTTAGTAAATTTAATCTATGCTCTAACAAATAGCAAGTGACCTACCCACCTTGATACTAAAACAAATTTATTGAGTTTATTTTATTATGTGTTTGTTTGTATATCATAATAATAATAATAATAATAATAATAAAAGACATTGTCATGGATGGGTTATAATTAAGCAGATTTACAAAATTTGAAAAAAAAAAAAAGTAAAAGTTAAGCTGAATTGAGCTGATTAAATAACAAATAAAAAAAAAAAATGCCTATATACAATACCTATAAAATTTAAGAATAAATGTTACTATAACTATAAACTTTGTACTATATATTTAAGGAAAAAAAAAAGAACCAAATTTAAAGACAAATGACCTATAGTAAATACCTACAAGAGAAAAAAAAAATCTATATAATTTACACTTTGTAATACATGAAGAAAAGTAGGTGCAAATAAAAGTGGAGAACTCAACACCAAATAAATATTATGTTAAATAATGACTTATTTTAAAAGATATATATTATATAAATTATCCAGAGATTAAATTTTTTTTAATAATAAAAGATTATTATAAAATCTATTAAGATAAAATTAATTGATATTTTAAATATAAAAGGATAGATATCTAAATTTATTAAAAATTAATTTAAAAGATAAAAGATATATATATATATATTCAGATATATATATCTAAATTATTTGAAAATTAATTTTGGATAACTAATAATTTTTGAATTTTTTTATTTATTTGATGAATAGCATAAAATTATTAAAAAATTAATTTTATGTGATAAAAAGATATATATTAGATTATATATATTTAAATTATTAAAAAATTAATTTTGAATAATTAATATTTTTTAAATATTTTTATTTAGAGGATAAATACTATAAAATTAGAAATTGTGCAAGTGTAGTGCCAAAACATAAAATTGAATCTTATTGAAAAATTTAGGCATGTATATAGTCTAAACTGTGTGTTTATGGAATTTTGTTTGGTGGATTTTTCATAATAATTAATTTCTATTTTTTATCAAAAAAGAAAATACATTACCATAGTTGGTTATAAGTACATTTAAAATGATGGTAAAAAAGTAAAAATTAAGATTGAATTGAAAGAAAAAAAAATTATATGATTGAGCGAAAAATTAAAGGTAAAAATAAAAGATCTACTTGCAGCATCTACAAAATATAAAAATAAATGTTATTATAATTTTACACATTGTAATATATATAAAAAAAATCAAAGTTAAAAACAAATGACCTTTCATAAGCACCTATAAAAGGAAAAAAAAAAAACAAAATTAAAAATAAATGACATATTGTAAACACTTTGCAAAAAAAAAATACTTATGTAACTTTCTATTTGTAATACAGAAAGAAAAAGAGGTGCAAAACAAAGGTAAAGAACTAAATATCAAATAAAAATTATGTTAAAGAATAAGTTATTTTTAAAATATATAAATTGTCAAGATATTAAATTCTGAATAATAAAATATTATTCTAAAATTTATTAAGATAAAACTAAATTTGATATTTTTAAATTTAAAAAGATATATATCTAAATTATAAAAAATTAATTTTAAAAGATAAAAGATATATATTTAAATTATATATCTAATTATTAGAAAATTAATTTTAAAAGATAAAAATATATATTTAAATTATATATATGTAGTTTGTTAGAAAATTAATTTTGGATAAGTAATAATTTTTAAATATTTTTATTTATTTGATTAATTTTAAAAGATAGAAAGATATAAATTTAAACTATATATATATTATAGATACCAAATTTTGTCTGGAATATTTTAGCATAATTAACTTAGGCCCATTTACAACTTTTTAAAAGCTCAGAAAATGTATCGATATTTAGACCTAATAAAAAAGATACCCATATAATTACTATCAAACTATTTCATATGGGATTTATATAGATGATACTTTTGCACGTGGATGTATGAAAAATATAGAATAAATGAAATGAGTAAAACCCAAAGTCAACTCTGGTTAAAATTATATAAAAACTTGGTTGAAATAAATAAAACTAGGGTTAATCTTTAAAGTTCAATGTCTAATTGTCAATGTAGTTTAAAATTAAATTTGGTGATTTTTAAAACACTAAAAATTTTTATTGCATTAGAGGAAATACAAAATTATCAAAATACCCCTATAAAAGATATTTTTGTAATTTAACATTTTCGAGCTCAAATTTTCATGAAACTTTCAAATTTTAATTTTATAATATTTCATGATTTTTTGGGCATTTGAAATCACAGCTATAACTTGAAAAGTATGAAATTACCAAAATCCCCTATAAGAGATATTTTCGTAATTTAACCTTTCAGAGCTAGATTTTCATAAAACTTTTCAAATCTTAATTTCATAATATTTCATGATTTTTGGTGTATTTGAAATCATAATAGTACCCTACAAAATGTGAAATTACTAAAATACTCCTATAGGGGTATTTTCGTTATTTAACTTTTTTGTGCTCAAATTTTCATCAAACTTTTCAAATCTCAATTTTATAAAATTTCATGATTTTTAGTGTTTTAAAATCCCAAAAATAAACATGGAAACATTGATTTTTAAGAAAATGGCTTAAATACCAAAAACTTTGTATTAGAGGTAAAATGGTCTTTTCATGTGTTTGAAGGATATAAAAATCCAACATTTGCAGTGAATAATATGGACCATTAGACCTTTTATTGATCTTGATCCAATAACAAAAGGTGGTTTCTTAAAAAGAAGAAAAAAGAGAAACTTTGACCCTTGGATAAGATTTCATCGAAGGGTCCATATTGACCAAGAATGAGATCTTTTTTGGGACCGAATAAGAAAAGACTGGAGAGAGGCTTGGAAAGTTGGAAAAAAAAGGAGCCAACGTAAAACAAAATGAAGGAAAGCAAAGGCAAAAAAAAAAAAAGTAGAAGCTAGCTGAATAAAGAAAGGGGTTAGAAAAAGAAAAAGAAATGAGTATACCAAAAAGAAGTAGAAAGGTTGTCGAAAGGGAAGAAGAAGTTGCTAGCAAAAGAAAAAAAAGAGAAAGATAAGGGAGAAAGAAGCAATTCTTTGAAAAAAAGAAAAAGAGCAAAAGTAGCCTTCCTTGTTTTTTTTATGGATGTTGTCATTTCTATAAACAAAACTCCCTATTCTTTATGTTTGCTGCTTTCATCCTCACTATATACTAGTTTGTTTGATACAAGTTTGTTAGTTTAGTTGGATTGGTGTTCATTTTTAATGCTATGGCCATTTTTCTAGTTGATGCTTTATATGTGGATATAGTTGCTAATCTAGTTCCAAGCTTATTTTCATGTATTGATGCTATAGGTATTATGGTTGGTTTGTGTTTTGAATGGTTTCTTAAAAAAAAATTGGTTAGAGGAAAGGCAGTAGCGTTACGACCTTAGAAAACTCTACCAATTACTAAAAAAAAAAAGAAGAAGAAGAAAAGTCTTCAAAATATAAATGCTAGAACTTGTAGTTTAAGCTTGTCAAAGTCCTCTTTTATCATTTTATGACTTTGAACAAACAATATTGCATGAAAAGTGACATTGGTAGAGGCCATAAGTTTTTATTTTACTCTAATAAGAAACAAAAACTTCAATACATGCCGAAATTGCTTGTTCTCCAATATGCTTCTCTTTATGCATGACTTTCAAAACTATGCACACATCTATTACAATTTAAATTTTTTGTTTTTTTTAAGACTTTTTGTGAGTATATCTTTATGTTTTTCCTGATTTCTTATGCAATTTAAAATTTTATATTCCAATTTACTTTTTTATGTATGTTAAATTTATGCAAAATTTATTAATAAGAAATTGAATGAAATTCTTGAGGAAGATATTTTAGAAAAATTCGAGTAGCGATTCTCTAAAATGTTTAGGTAAGGATATTTTTCTAAAAATATTACCAAAGTAATAAAGTATTTAGGAAAATATTCAATAAAAAAAATTTCATTTGTCTATTTTTCTAAAATTTTGATAGATGTTAATAATAATGTGTAATGGCTCTTTTAATAATGAAATTGATAAAGTTTAAAATTTAGAACAAAAAAATATAATTAATTAACCAAGAAAAGACAAA